CAACGCGGTGGTGCGGCAGTGGGGTGAGGCGCGGCAGGACAGCGGGCTGCGCGGCCACTATGATCTGGTGCAGATGCTGGACATTGTCAACATGGAGGCCGGCGTGGCGGTGAGGGAGCGGTTGAGGGCCGGCTCGCTGACGAGGCGAGGGGGAGGGGGGCAGCTTCCAAGGGGCGCAGTGCAGGGACTGCGCCGCATGATCTGTCTGATCTAGGGGGTCTGGCCGGACTGGAGTCGATACAGGTGGTGGCTGGTCCAGGGAACGGACGGCGGACGGTGTCGCCGTGGCAAGCTCCTGCCTCACCAAGCATTCCTCATATCGCTTCGACTGTTCCTGGCCGCGCCGCGGCGCAGGTGGCGGGCGGCCGTGGCTACTACCTCATCCGCGAGGGCCCCCTGCTCAATCAGGCGCTCATCAGCTTCGCGCTGCAGTTTGCGTACAAGCGGCAGTACAGCCCCGTGCACACGCCCTTCTTCATGAACAAGGTGTGGGCCTCGTCTCCATATGCTCCCCAGGGATCGTTCCCGGGGTGGAAACGGGGGGCCGAAACAGGGCGCCTGGTGCCGTCGACCGGCACGCAAGAGCGGGGACGCCTGCTCTGCGCGCTCCTCGCCCTCGCGCGCGCGGCGGGCCAGAGACCTTTGCCCTGCAGCTGGGGTCCGGCCGGGCGCGGGCGCTCGCCGCGAAGCTCGCCCTGGGCGCCCCTGACCGCGGCGCCCCCCGGCTGTGCGGCCGCAGGACATCATGGGGGAGTGCGCTCAGCTGTCGCAATTCGATGAGGAGCTCTACAAAGTCACGGGTGAGGGCAGGACGGGGGCAGCGGCCTGGCGAGGGGCGATACAGGGGCAGGACGGGCGGGAGGGCGGCGTGGAGCGGGGTGCGTTGCGAGAGGGGGGCGCGAGGTTTTAGCTTGGGGGCGGCGCTGTGTGGGGCGTCAGGGGCAGCCGCTTAAGGCAGCGAGCTTGCTGCAAGCCCTGCACCCTGGAAAAGGTTTGCGTGGGCGCGCTGCGGGCGACCCCCACCCCCCCCCCACACACACACACATCCCCCCTTGCAGCAACTGATCGCCACCCCACAAACCCACTCCCCCACCACTCACCGCCCCACCACCTTCGTGACATGACGCTGCATGATGTCACACGTGACCCCAGGGGAGGGCGAGGACAAGTACCTGATTGCCACCAGCGAGCAGACGCTGTGCGCGCTGCACCGCAAGGCCTGGTTCGAGAAGGCCGAGCTGCCAGTCAAGTGAGGGGCCCCGCTTGGGGCCCGGGTGCCGCGGGTAGCACCAGCCTTTACACGTGGCAGGGGTGTGGGGTGGCAGGGTAGCTGCTGTGTTTCGCCCCGCGATCGTGTTTGTTTGGGCTGGGGGGTGGGCGAGGGGCGTGCAGCCGGAACGCAGGCAGGCACTAGCGGCCTTGTCAGAGGCGCCGCGGGGCGCAAGCTGCGGGGCAGCGAGGCCTGCAGCCAGTGGGCCCAGCCGCCGCGCCTCGATGCGCGGCCCCGGTGGGAACGGGCCTCCCCTTGTGCATCCGTCAGTCCTGCTGCC